GAATCTATTAACTGTCCATTTAATGGAATTTATTAATTATTTATTTAAAAGAATCCATTAACTATTTTTTTTAATGGAATCCATTGACTGTCTAATTAGTAGAATCTATTAACGATCCATTTAATGGAATCTATTAACTATTTATTCAATGGAATCTATTAACTATCCATTTAATAAAATCCATTAACTATTTATTCAATGGAATCCATTAAATATCTAATTAATGAAATCCATTCATTATTGATTTAATGGAATCTATTAACTGTCCATTTAATGGAATCTATTAATTATTTATTTCATAGAATCCATTAACTATTTTTTTAATGGAATCCATTGACTCTCTAATTAGCAGAATCTATTAACGATCCTTTTAATGGAATCCATTAATTATTTATTTAATGGAATTTATTAACTATTTATTCAATGGAATCTATTAACTATCCATTTAATAAAATCCATTAACTATTTATTCAATGGAATCCATTAAATATCTAATTAATGGAAACTACTCTATATTCTATTAATGGAATTTATAAAATGTCTAATTAGTAGAATCTATTAACGATCCATTTAATGGAATCTATTAACTATTTATTCAATGGAATCTATTGACTATCCATTCAATGGAATCCATTTCAAAGGTCTATTAGATACCTGAATAATAAAATTTAGTAATTAACTTTTTAATAGAATCTATTAAACATTCATTTAATGGTCCATTAACTACCTATGAATTTAACCTACTAATCTAACTAATAGAATCCATTAAAAATCTAATTATAGATTCCATTAAATATCTAATTCATAGTATCTATTAAATATGTAATTAATGGAATCCATTAGAAAATTAATAGATTCCATTGAATTCCAAATTAATGGAATCCATTACTTTCTAATTGATAAAATCCATTAAATATCTAATTTATAAAATCTATTAAATACCAAATTATTGAAATCTATTAAAAATCTAATTAATAGAATCCATTAAAAATCCAATTAATAGAATCCATTAAAAATCTAATTAATGGAATCCATTAATGACTCTCTTCTTACTCATAACCCATAAAGCTCACCTAATTATTACAATAGTCCAATAAATTCCATTAATTGGTCCATTAATGGATTCCATTACTTCCCTAAGTATCATCATTATCATCTAACATCACAAAAAATATCCATTAGAAACAACGTAGTGATGTTATCTACTAGATGGCGCTACTAATGGACCAATCAATAGTCCATTAATCCATTAACCAATCAGATAGCGCGAAAATGGCACAAAATTTGAAATATACGTCTAATTAAAGAAAATATCTACGAATAGTTAACTTTATAATTAATGTGAAAATAAATTAATAATTATTATTTTTCTATTAATTATTTATTTAATAATTATATCATCAGCGGTAATGTGAATGTGTGATATAACATGTATGACTTGAAATAAAATATGTATGAAAGTATCTCCCGATGCGTGAATCAAAATAATTAACATTAAGTAAATAAATTATTAATAATTAACAATTAATTAATGATTAATGATTAATCGATTGTAAATATATCAATTTATAAAAAATATATTATTATTATCCATTAACCAATCAGATAGCGCGAAAATGGCACAAAATTTGAAATATACGTCTAATTAAAGAAAATATCTACGAATAGTTAACTTTATAATTAATGTGAAAATAAATTAATAATTATTATTTTTCTATTAATTATTTATTTAATAATTATATCATCAGCGGTAATGTGAATGTGTGATATAACATGTATGACTTGAAATAAAATATGTATGAAAGTATCTCCCGATGCGTGAATCAAAATAATTAACATTAAGTAAATAAATTATTAATAATTAACAATTAATTAATGATTAATGATTAATCGATTGTAAATATATCAATTTATAAAAAAAATTTTTTTTTTGTAATTTTTTTTTTTGAAATTAAAAAAAATGTAAATAATTGCTTATATTTACAATAAAAAAATCTATCAAGGTTTTAAACATCGAAAAAAAAAATTTTTTTTTTAATTTATTTATTTTTGGTTTTTTTTTTTTTTCAAAGGGACGGAGTAATGAAATCATATCGTAATTAGTAAATTAAACATATTTTACATTAAAAAAAAATTGTACGAACATTAATTGTAGATAGTATGAAAGAAAAAAAAATTATCATTAAAAAAAAAAAGTAATTATCAAGATTATCATTTATCTAAAATTCACAATATTATTAATAATTCTCGTAATAAATATAAATAAATAATTATTAACGCCCTTGCATTAAATGATTAATGATTAATGATGGTAATTAATAAGTAATTAAAGATCAAAATACGGACTCTGTCAGTAGTGGATATTAATATAATTATATGTAATAATTAATGAACTATGGTTATACTACTAGATATTAATTTATTAAGTAATTAACGAAACTATTAATAGTATTAATTAATGGATATATTAATTTATAATTTATAATTTATTATTTCTTCAATATAACTGTATTATATAGTATATTTAATGATGGAAGAAAAATTTATGCGTAATAAATAAATTTAAAAAATAATTTAATGTTTTCGTTTTTTTCATTAGTTTTAGTAACATGTCCCAATCATTGACCATGTCCCAAATATGGACCATGGTCCAATTATCAATCCTATTTTCAATAAAAATTTTTTCCCAATTATTAACGTCTTAATTTTTTAAAATGTCCCATTTCTTGGCTATGTCCTAAATATGGACCATGGCCCAATAATCAATTCTATTTCAAATAACAATTTTGTCCTAATTATTAACAATGTTTCAATTAAAAAAAATGTCCCATTTCTTGACCATGTCCCAAATATGGACCATGGCGTAATAATCAATTTTATTTTAAATGACAATTTTATCCCCAATACTAACAGTTAAATTTTTAAAAATGTCCCAAACATGGACCATGGCCCAATTATTAAATATATTGCAAATATCAATTTTGTCCCAATTATTAACAAAGTTTCAATTTTAAAAAATGTCCCATTTCTTGACCATGTCCCAATTATGGACCATATCATCGAAAAAACGTC